ACAAAAAAGTGTCGTGAACTTTGTGCCCCGTTGGGATCTGGCTGGTTGGCTGGCTGGCTGGCTGGCTGGCTGACTGGCCGGTTGCACAATGTCAATACCGCTGACGCTGCATGACCCAACCACAGAATCCAGAATCCCGGCAAGAATCGCCTATCAGCGCTGACATCGTCTAAACAGCAACAGGCAACAACATGCAACAAATGATGGAGAGCACTAACAAGACTTGATCCTGGTGCTCCTGTTAGATGTGCCCATGCCCCATCGCTGCTTTACACTACTGGCACAATTTCCAAGCAACAGACAGCGGACAGATGTTAGCGGCGAGCTTCCCGTTGCTTTTGCTGTTTTTATTGCTGTTGTCTTCATTGTTGAGCATTTTGTCAGCGACATGTAAAGGTTTAAATAGACATGCAAGCCAGGCCACAAGGAGGAGCTGCTTTGAAGCCTGGACTACTAGATTTGCCATAGTTCTAACGTGGGTGAACCGTGAGCTCGTAACTTTAGCTCGTACAAACTATTTACAACTGGCGTAAGATGCACACTTTTGATAGCATTTAGGAAATTTATGCAAGAAATGCCGAAACGCGAAACAGTGGGGTCCAGCAGCAACATCAACAGCACCAGCAGAAACAGCAGCAGCAGCAACAGCAGCAGCAACAACAATAGCAGCGGCTGCAACAGTTGAGCTGGAGGGAACAACATCATTTAAAGCACGAGCTGACTGTCTCCTGGTACATTATTTGTGGGTGTCATGCATGAGAGCTGAGCGAGTTGTCATAAATAAATGGAGGTTGGACTCAGTGGCTACAGATGAAAGTGGGTTAAGGGCGCATTCGGGTGAGACGTTGCCGTCATGTGACCGGCATCTAACTCAATTGAATTGTACTCCTACTATGTAAATCGACATAATCAACTTTTCAATTTGGCATGCAATCTGCGGACATTTCTCAGGCGCATTTTCATTTGGACGTGCGGCTAGCTAGACATAACTCTTCTGCCTGGCTAACCTTCTACCCGGGCCCCGCCGCTGCCAACTGGTTTGAGCATGTGATTTATGCTTGGGGCAGTATCTTGGCCATATCATATTACCTACTCCTACAAGTCGAGGCAATATATCTTCGCTTATGACTGACATCCTTTTCGCTTTTCACTGCATTGTTTTTGGGCCGCAAATGCGGTCAATTGGCCAGCCGCGCGTCTCTCCTTCCCTGCCTCTCCCTCTCTCTTAATCTCTATCTCTCTCTGTCTCTCATTCTACACATATGTGAAGCATATGCGCTAGCCCTGGTTGGCCTGGCCTAGTGTGGCCCAAACCTGGCCAGCTTCTTGGCTGCTGCTCATTCGCATTTTATGCTTGCATTGTTCGATGCGCCATGCAAGCGGCAGATTTCGGCTTTTATTTGTTCATTATTGGCCAAGATATACGTCGCTTTTAAATGAGTTATTGAGCAAATGGATGTACGAGTCGTATGCTTGCTTGCCGACATACACACGTACTCAATACCATGACATACACTACGATACCAAAAGAACTTGCTGGCACCCAGTCTGTTTTCCTGCTAATCGTGGCCAAAGCCGTTTGCGGCAGTTGCCGTTGTTTTCTGGCTGTGCCAGTTAACTTTAACAAACTAACTAACTCGCCTATGTCAGCAGCAATCTATACAATGGCTTAACCTAACTGCTATTCTTGATTTCAAAACCACTTGCAATTAGCTGATAAAATACAAATAAAAAGAGAGAAGAGTCCTCCTACAAAGTTCCGAAGATTAAATACCCTTGTTGACATTTGGAAGTGCACTATATATTATTCTTATATGAGTTACGTAATGCTGGTTTGAATATAGTCTGGTAAAGATTTCGAGTCTAACAGATATCGCTTGATACCGATCAGGAATATATTTAAGTTAAAGCTTTCAAGCCTTAAAACCAATTAAACAGCTGCCAATATGGGAAAATGAGTAGTATACAGTCTAGTTCCCTTTAATCGCATTCAATTAAAATACCATGTGATGTAGGTAACTTCGTGAGCATCAAAAGTCAATTTTCCACTTAAATTGTCGTTACTCAGATGTCCAAATAGTTGAACATAAGACGAGTTCAACAACACATCTGCCGTGTCTAATGTCTTGACAAAGAATCAAATTGTTGTGGCACCTTAAATAGCTTACAGGATTTGAATCGAATCGTTAAGAGAGTTGACCGATACGTGTTGAAAGACCATTAAATGGCAAGAGATTCTAATTTTTGCGCATTTTAAGACCTCAAATACAGGTTTAATTAAAAACACGTTTAAGGAAATAAAATATTGAGACAGCTTAACGCTATCTAATTGAAATGACCGCAAGTTTGGGTCAACGTCTGTACGATTTATTTAATTTGAACAACTAATAATACCTTAAGCGCATTATGCATACATTTTCATTCTGTAGCCGATCTAAATGAGCCTTAAATAGTACACAGAATGATTATAATTAAAGGCCCTTGGGAGGTCTTCAAAACAAAACAAACACGATTAGCTAATGTGATCGTTCAAGCTGGTAAAAGAAAAATTTCTGTTGTTTTTACGGTTTGTGAATAGAACAGACCGAATATATGAATAAATTTTGTACAAAACAAACAATTCAACTTAGTAACCGTTAGAGCTAATGGACAACATAGATATATAAGATAACCGATATATTAAAGAGTGCTACTGTGTGACTAGCTAAGTTGTAAAAGAGAGAGAGAAAAAGTGACACCCATTGATCAGGGCCAAGAGATTTCTGTTTATCACACAAACTTTTATAATATTAATAGCCCTATTAGCTTCGTACCGTACCCGGAACGCAACTTTCTTTCCGACTTTCAATCAAGACTTTCAGATTTTACAAAACCACACCTATTCTTACAGGTTCTAAAGCCTTACATTGGCCAGTAACTGTCTCATTAAAGCGTTTACGAATGTCACACGAGAACTGGCTGTCGCCAAAACTGACCTTAGGGCCAGTCTGCCGTCTATTAGTCGCTCTCAACTTAAGTCGCTTTTTATGGTGCCTAATATGAGGGCTTATGTCAGGCCTACGGGAATTATATTTCATACAAACGTTAGGCTAAGATTATGCACTAAGCTTTGGACAAATATTTACAAATACATAGATGAATCGTTTAAAAATATGCACTTCTTGCATAAAATAATAATAATAATAGATTATAGAAAAAAATATTTTTTGTTTTTAGGTGTATATAATTCCGAAAAACGAAATGTATTGAAAATATGTTTTGCGGTGATTTTTAGCGGCAATAAAGTATATTGCCGTCTGAGTGAAGTCTTGACTATCGCAAATTAATTATTTTGAACTTAACTAATAATAATTGACCTACTTCAAGATAAAGTCTTGTTGGTTGGGGCACACTAATTTTTGATAAGTATATATTTAAATAGTAAAAATTATATTATACTTGCATTTATTTAATATGCTCAAAAGCTGGCCGACACATGGTATCTGCTAGCCTTGCACTCTCTCAACAAGCGCATGCCAACTTGTTTTCAAATAGAGGCTTTAGCCAAACATATTGAACAAATAGAAAAACTCTATGTTTGATTTATGCATTTGACCGCGTCTTGCCACAAATAGATGCCTGCACTTGTGTAACTTCGCCCACTTTGAAGCCCACCCACTTGTCTAGCCGCCAAATTTTTACATAATTTAGCTGCTGCCGCAGCTACTACTGGCAACAGCTTTCAACCATTTACACCCACTCCTATTAGCTAGCATTCAAGTGCAACACACGACTCTTGTTTCGCAGGAAAGCTCAGACTTTGCTGTGGCATCAACTGCCACTTGGTGCAGAATGTGCAACACACTAGTACCGTTAGACGCCCACGGGACCGCCGGTGCCGGTGCCAGTGCCGGTACTGATGCTGATGCTGGGACTGGTGCCAGCGCAGCCGACACAATAAATAATATGTAACAAAATCGATACCGCCGTCTGTGAGTTATGAAGTCGATTTGGTGGCGCGTGCGCGGCAGCAATAGCAGTTGCCACAAAACTGTTGAGTCGCCGTTTACTGTTCTACTCGTATCTTTGGCTCAGTTAATTTCCGCTTTGGCCCAGAGCGCAGCGATTTGCAGATTATTGTGGGTCAGAATGGGCAACTGGTAATTGCGCAGGAGTCCTAAATTAATCAAATCCCCTTTCATAGGCCATATTCGTTACCAGTCGAATTGCATCTGCGTTCAAATACTTTCTCACACGCTTGGCCAGCGACCAATGAAAGTGAACCGAACCTTGTCAGCTTTGGAGGCGGCTACACAAAAATTCACATGATTCTTTCAATGACTATGCACACAGATACATAAATCATTTGTTTGCTCAAAAATTCAAATCGTTTCATCTGCCACGGCCAACGGCGACTCTCACTTTCCGGCGGCGGCCGCATCAAACCAGATGCCCAGCCGACCCGCAGAATTCCACTACCCAATGATCCGCTGCCTTTCAGCGGCTTTCAATGCCTGATTATTAATAGGCATGGACATGCATATACTTGTACAATGGCCATTCGAGGCTTTAACGTGACTATCCATAGCCAGATGCACTTTTGATACACATTTATGGTTGACCAGCAACTAGCCCATTTTAGTACCAGTTTCCGCTGCAAAACAGATCCGTATAACGTATTTTTCTACTTCATTAAAAGTACTACGTATACATTTGCAGGTTCATTATAAATACTTTGTCAAATCTTAACTTATATATAATAATAATATAAATAGCCGAGTAGATATAGCTACGTCCACTTCACTTCGCACGTCCACTTCACATATCATATAGCTGCCATAGAAATGATCGGTCAATAATAAAAATCTTGTATGAACATGTATCTGTTTTTCAAGATCTGTGCCTTTTAGGTACGGGCAAAAGGTTGGGTCTTCGGCGTCCCGAAGATAGCCTTGAACATATTTTCATAATTTAAAAATTAAAATTATTTTTGAAGTAGTTTTAATTGAAGATTTTCGTTAGCTTTTGCTTTTCTCTCAAATATAAATATATTTATTGCAAATTGTCTCACTCTTAAAACTGCTATACAATAATTAAATTTTTTCATGTGAGAACGAGAAAATTGTAATTACCGCAAACAATTTCTTTGAAATCGATTCTTGTTTGACTTGTCGCTGGTCTTATATGTTTTCCTCTCCAAAATAATAAAATTAAGACATGCGTCGTTGTGGAAGTGATGGCAAGAAAAGTGCGACGCTTGATATTTATTATGTAAATGACGGCTAGTCTGGCTTGCACGCCAAATGATACCTGGACACATAGAGCGCAGCATCCGCTGGTTGTTCAAGTTCTTAGCGCTTGGTTCTTGTTATAGTCGTAAAATCAAAATGAACAACATCAAAATGTTCCGCTGGATAGATGACTGGCAGCCGAAGGCTCATAAGCAACAGGTGCAACCAGTTGGGCTTTACAGATACCCGCTCTCGGAAATAGCCTTTGCTCGTCTCCTAGAACAGTTATATGTACGCTAAATTTATTTACGCGCCGCCTGATGAAGAAAAAGGTTTTTGGTGGGTGGCAGTTTATGGCATTGCCATCTATCATGTGAAAAGGCACCGAATTACTTATTCTCTTATGGACAGAATCCCACCTAGTTGTCAATTAGGCGCTACTCAACTTGACGTGTTTGAATATCTATTTTTAATTTATCTTCTACTACCATCCTAAAACTGCCAAACAGTCAATCAAAACTATAGTTCAGCAATTAAAATGTATATTTACTTAAAGTAATAAAATGAGTAATGAATGTCAGTCAAACCACCTTTGACTCGGCTATTAAAATACTGTTGTGGCTTAAGTCCATGGTCTCAACTGAAACATGTTTAGGCGTGGAAGTCTCTTCCGTGAATTGATTGAAAATCACCTAGGCTAGGCCCTAAATTGCTGTTGGCTCTTTTGGGACCAATCGCAGCAAATCAAACAATTTCGCTTTCATTGTACGCAGCTCAATTTGTACGATTTATACAATATAATTTACGATATTAAGTTTTCATTAATGCAATTACCGCACGTTAAATAAAAGGCGCTGCGGTTACGTGCAACGTGACCAGATCGAGCAAACATTACATCAGCTTCGCCGAGCAGCACTCATCATTGCATCAAAGCATCAAAGAAAGCGACCGCCAGGGATTAGACATGGCTCAAGTCCATTGCATCCATTGCATTCATGGCACACATTTTAGTTTATTCACTACACTTAAGTGTAATAAAATTTGTAATAGAATAAGAATAAACTCCCGGTCCCGACCAACGACTCCTACATAGAAATCATTTCATCTTTGGCCATTGGCCAATGTATCTACAACTGGATTTAAGACCATTAATAAAATATGGATAACCTCTAGCAGCGCTTCCGCTTGCTGATGCACTTTTGCTGTCCTGATCTCTAAACTGACCTACTTGCTGTAGATATGCAGAACGAAATCTGTGGGCGGGCTGTGCCTGTAAATATGACAAACATCCGTTAATATGGTAGCGATCTTGCGCCATATAAGCAGGAGCACAAGGTGACAGAGCCCAGTCAGACTATGGAAATTTTCCTTTTTCCTTTTAACTGACCACGTTCAATTTTAGCCAAAAGAAGATTTGCAACGTCTAAAATGGTTGGGCGGCTTGACCAGAAAGGCAAAAACAGGCACGAAATTCAAATGACAAACCAAATGGCAGCAACTCAAGCGATCGGAGCTGGAACGAGGATTAGAGGTTGTGGCTGGAACTGGAACTGGGGTTACGGCTGCGACTGCGACTCGTGGCCATTTAGACACTGGGCGATCTCACCCAAATACGCGACAGCTCAATCAGTTGGCCATGACTGCGTGCTGGATCTAGGAGCATTTTGGCCAATTTGATTTATGGCCGGCAAGTTTTCTTCCTTGTTGCATTTTCATGTTGGAATTCATGCATAAACATAAAAGCAGCCGAAATTTTTCCAGCCATAGTCATTGAACAATAGAACAGCGACATTTGTTGGCCTGCCTCAAGTCGCAACGCTCCATTGTGTTTTATGGTACCCAGAACGTGAGGTTCAACTTGAGAAGATCTTCTCGCTCAGCGCACGGGCTAGTAAATATATTGTAATAAACATAGATACTTATGTATGTCCTATCGATTCTTCAAGTTGTCACTCGCTGATTATCGTACAAGCCCTGGCAAACAAATCGAATTCATTTGGCGCAGTTCGTAATCTCTTCAACCCATGAAATTCTTGGCGATTCTTCGGCTTTCATTTTAACTGCCTTAAAATATATTGTTTAGTACTTTGCTGTGCGTAGAACAATTTTGAAATGTTTGTATTTTGCCAGACTATTGTGAAAGCTGCCACAGCAAAAGCGAAAAATTTTATTTATTGACAATGTGGATGACTGGGAGGGGGATTGATGGACTGACAGACTGGCATGGGTTTGATTAGTTAAGGTTTCGCATTGACCCAGAGAACTACATTTCTTCTACAATGGGCAGAAGTGTGGGGCTGACATTTAATAGCACTTTGAGTGTGGGATCAGCTAAATGAGTAATTAAAGTGGAGGAGGCAGCCAGCCCTAGAGTCGGGATGCTGTGCAGTCCGTTAGTCAGTTAGTCAGTCAATCAGTCAGGAAACGGTTAACATGCCCAGAGACGAGACACGAGCAGCTCGCGTTCGTCTACTTGATAAATGGCTCTTTGTCATCGTCTTGGCCCCTTCTCGTAACTAGCTCCCAGGTACGACTAATCGCCGCTATTTGGCCACAGATTCAGACTCGGACTTGTATTATGTCTAAGCCAGAGTCTTAGTTGGCTAAATAGTCTCACACCTCGACAATGCGGCTGCTAATATTTTGGCCTTTTAGCTGCCAGCTGCCAGCCGCAGTCAACTCAATTAGGATGCTTGGAAATGATTCATTCTAATCTAAAGTCGAGTATCTGCAGTCATGAGCGGGCCTCAACCCGTCGAAGTCTAGGTCTGAGCCAGAGTCTGGGCTTTAGTTCGATTTACCGTTGTGCCGTGCAGAGGCATTCCCCGCGGCGGCTGTTAACCGTTTGTTGTGTCTAGAATTTTGCATGGCCATTTCATTATTGATTCGCATCTGACTGCCTCGCAAATGTCTTCATTTAGTTGCCGTTTCGGACACGTTTACACTTTTAACATTCGCTTTGAAATTTATGACTTTTTAATGTGTCGGGCATGTAAAACTTTTAAATTATGCTTTAAGAGAACCATATAATTCGCGTATAGTTACGAACTCCCGTAACTTTTTGAAAAGTGAGAGCTATCCCGTATAAAAGTTTGTTGTTCCGCGCATATGAATCATCGAACGAATGACTCTAATGAACGAATTCCATGAGCCACCTGTATGCGTATGGAATGCCATCATTAGGCTTACCCCACATCGGGTCAGCTAGCTGCAATGAAAGTGAAAATCTAAATAGGCAATGGAAAAATAAATATACCCCGACGACGCACTTTCATTTTATTCGCCACTACTCCTAATGAGTTCCACAAATGTGTCACACGGCTGGACAATTACTTGAACTTGTCATTGCTCGTTGATTGAGTTTTTATTGCAAATTAGTGCAGAAAACTGCTTTAGGATCATTTGGCGTTGTAATTAATTTAACGAAGCCAAAAGTGGCAGTTCAGTCAACCGGAAAAGGCCATCGTTAGGAGTATATTGCTCTTAATTGCTCAGAAGACTGTTGAAGAACTGCTTCACTTACTGGTTTAGATTCCTTGGTGCCTCAAGCTGTGGCAACTGGCAAAGTTTAGTTCCAAACGTCTCGAAACTTTATTAAGAGTTGGTCAATCAGGTACTCAAATGTCTCTTGCTCATCACTGGAACTCAGCTATTTCCACATCCTCTGTCAAGAGCCCAAATACAGTTGGACATCGCGGTAATGAGATTTTGAACTATATTGTGGATTCCGCTTTAATTGCCTGACAACATTGGGTTGTTTCGGATTGTTGGATACCTCGCTTCTTAACTCTGTTGCACTTTAAACTCAACCCCTACTAGCTTTGTGGCACGCCTCACGACTCGTAACGTTAACAGGCCACTATATGAAATCCGGGTCTGCAGCAGGTGTCTGCGTGGAGTGGGTGTCTTGTGTGAATTGCGTCGCCTTGTGACCCAATAAAAATCCCATTAGTCGGCCTCATGTGTGCCCGCTATTCTCGTGCTCCTCTAACTGGCACAAAGGTCGGCGCTCAGGTGCAATTCGATCTGCCCGTGGCAAGCCTCAGGCCGAACCTCGTTCATGTGTTGATTAATTTGTAAGACGATGAACGCTGAATAACACGCCCACTTTAGACAACTTATTGTGCTGCTCAGGTAGCTGGGAAGCTGACTAAATTGGGAGGCAAGCCTCACAGTTCTCGAAGAGCAAAATTAAAATGTTAATGATATACAAAGCGAGTCGCTTAACGCCAACGACATTGTCTTTTATTCATATGTATGTTGTTTTTTGATTAATTTTTATTATGCTTAGAAATTGATAATAGAATATGCTTATCGTCGCAGGTACCGTTATTCATTGAATGGTTTTGTTTGAAAGTGAAAGGACTGAGAGCAGCTACCGATGTGGAACCTACGCATTAGATCTAAAAACGGTAAGTTGATAAGAAACCCATAACTACAATCACTTTGGAAGTCGGCTTTCGCTATATGAAGGGCCTCAAAATGAAAGTGTCGCATCATGTAGAGAAGACGCCCAAAAATAACCTTGAAACGAACAGACACAAAGTCCAAAAGTTGAGTTTCGGAAAAGCACTCGAAAAGAATGCGCAGTGTACACATTAAGAACATGAAAAGAGAAATTTGTCAACAATTTTATTTTCGACAATGTGTCGTACAATTTATCACGGCCCAGAAGTATTAAGGTAGCTTTAGGTACGCTTTAGGGCTTTAAAACCTGCTGATTCACCTCAATTTGCATAGCACACAAATGAAAAGTAAAAGGCCTACACAACTTGTGCATGAGGTGACAGCCTTCTTGATAATACACAAAGTCTTAATTGTGTGTTTGAATCTATGCTAATATGTTGGCATTTACATCAAACGCTTTCATTTTTGGACTAGCGAAATCTTTGCCCAATAATCACATTCTTAAAGCTAATCCTTCTCTTAAAAAAGAGGGGTTTGTCACAAATGCGCAGAGCAATCACTTCCATTTCACTGGCGCAAAACGTACGCAAATCTTAACCACGCACTTGATTGACCTTAATGATTTTAGGCTAATGATTTTCGTATGCCCGTGATGAAATGGCAGCAATAAAAAAGGCTTTTGCCAAAAGCGGTGTAATGTCTTTTGAAAGTAAAAACAAGAAAAATTCGTGTAGCTACAACAAGCCGATGGCAACTGTTGCTATTTTGACCACTGTTGCTGCCGCTGCTGCTGTTGCGGTTGGCATATCAAACAACTGGAGGCCCCACAGTTGACCGTTGACAGGAGTCTCTGTTTAAAGTGCATTTATTTTCATTTTCGTTGGCATCGGTTAACCTGCTGGCGCAGCATGTGTGCGAATTGTAAATTGTTCGCTTGGCAAAATAAACAGCGGGAAAATTTATTTCTATTTGCATTGCCTTGGCCCCACTCGTAGCTCGTACTCTGAAAATCATAACCATGCAACGGCCAAGTGTATTCCAGGCCTTGGCCATGGTCAAATTCGTATATTTTATGTGTATGATATTTATTTATGCAAGCACATGCGCATACGGCTCTTGTCCGGCAATAGTTTTACAAGAAAATTTGCCTGGCATAAATTTCCCAACTGACCTACTTGG